GTTTGGGCAACATACAAAGGAAGAAAATAGAGCTAAAAATAAATAGAGGTCAGTAGCAGAGGGTAATAAAATCAGGGAATGGCAAACTTCCCTGGAGAAGCAGATTGGAAAGATTAGGATTCTGATGTGGAAAAGGCCCACAAGGAGATAGGATCAAAGTCTGTTGCACAATGAAGGGTGTGGATGGGGGGAATGTGGATTGGTCATCAAATTCCTAAATTCCAGCATTATTACTGAAGCTTCAAAAAGGTTGTTGCATGACTAATAAAGGGAAGGTCTACTTTTAAAAATGGGTAATATACGTGTGGAATTCACCTTGAAAGAATGAACAGGTTGAAAATTTAAATAGAAAATTAAAAATTTAGATAATCCATTTGCAATAAACTTCAGTAAACTTTTAGGCAGCAGGGAAGTTTTTCAAAGCTTTCCATAATACTGCATGAAGAACAATGAACATGGTCTCTACCTGTCCACAGACAGAATTGGGGTACTTGGTTGAATGGCATTTTTTTCCATCTTTTGAGAGAATTGAAAAGGTTTGACATTTTACTGTCTCATAAGTCAGTGGCTTAACTAAAAATATGAGCCCTGATTTCTGACTTACATTTTAGGACAACTTCAGGGAACAGTGCCTATAATTAATAAGAACATTGTTGATATTTTGAATTATAATTGTTAATAATATTAAGAACAATAGATTTGGTCTTTTAGGTAAATTCACCATCTTATATAATGAAAAGCAGTCTATTCTTAGGTAAATCATAAGCCTCTTAGTCTGAGAGCAACTTGCTAAATAATTCTTAGTGTGATATTTTAGTCTATGAATAAACAGAGGGTTTCACATATCATTATTGTTGTAGTACTAACTTTACATAACAGTAACAAAAAACTGAGCCTAATTAGTTTCTTCCAGTAAAAATATTTGAGAAATTTTCCATTGCCCAATACCTTCCCATAATGGAAAATACACTGCATGGGAGGTATGTGTAAATATTTGATTCGTGTTTTACTGATTTCAGTGTCACAACCTATCAATCATTAACACTTCAAAAAACATATACCTGGTTAGTTGTTTCCAAAGTGCACTCTTTCTCGGCAGGAGTTTTGGATTCTTAGAATTAGAGGGGTCCCTGGTGAGCACCTAGTCTAATATTTTAATGTCATAGGTAGTGAAGCTGAGACCAAGAATTTTGAGTGACTTTCACAAAATCCTCCATCCAACCTTAGCTGGCTCTTAGGACCAAGACCTTCAGGCTCCCAAATCAGTGCTCTACTTAAGATACTAAGGAGAATTACTGTTCATCCTTTGTTCTGAAGGAAGGTATATAGAAATACAATAACCTTGTCATAGTTGTAGAAACAGAAGTGAAGAAATTTAGAAAATTGCAGGCACAGGCATTTGTTTCCAATGCTATTACGTGTGGCCACTTCGTAAAATTAAAAGATAGCCTCTGTGGAAAGAATCGTGAGGATATTAGCTTGACATTTTACTACCATGACATCAAATAAAGGTTCCCAACCTAGTGCCTGGCATATGGTCAGCGTGTAAAAGTGTTAGTTACATGTGGTTGGGATTAAAAAGCAATCAAAATTCTAGATAGAAAAATACCTGGATTATTTAATTGCCAGCATATTTTTTAGAAAGTATAAATACATGTACGAGATGACAAATAATTTAGTCTGGGAAAAGAAACCAGTCAAACCAGGAATGTGGTGCAGCTCGGACTAAGGCACTGCCTTGTAGGCATTTACAGTCATTGGTCCCTGGTTGATGGAGGTGATAGCGAAGGGAAGGACAGCCAGGGTCTGGCAGTGTTCCTACTAGAGTGAGGCATTTTGACTATTGAATAAACACTTACATTGAAGGCTGCTTTCCTCATATTTAGGTGGAGAAGTAGCATGATGCCTTGGATAGAGGTTAAGGAGCTCTAAACTCTTCTATTGGAAATTTGTCCTCAGGGTAAAGCCTACAGAATTCCTCAACTAACTCATTCCGAGAAGCCAGCAACAATGCGCTGGGGGCCTGACCTCATGGCAAAGGAGTGATTTCTTCCCTTCTCTGTTTTGCTGAAGGGGAGCCTATAGAACAGCTTCCAAACCCCTGTTCTTTGGCCAGTGCCAGAGCCGATGGCTCCTCGTTGTGTTTTCAGCTTCTCAGGAGGAGAGGCAGTGTGCAGCGACAGGCTGGATCCCGAGTAGCTGCTGCAGGATGAGGATGTTGCGCTGTTCGTGGGGCAGTGGGGCGTATTCCATGGAGCTCTGCTCACAGCGTCACTCTCTTCTGAGAGGTAAACTAGTAACTGAGATCCAGATGGTGCTGTTGGTCGGGATGCTGTACCTCAGTCCCTCAAATAAAATGTAAAAGCTTCTGGTACAGATCTTGCCCTTAAGCCTGTTACCTGTCAATAAATAAATTATTAGTTAACTTAAACAGAAATTAGTTGGCAGGCAACAGAAAGAAAAGTGGGGTTCAGGTAGGTATCTATAGATAAGTAGTAAGGAAACTTACTACTTTTTTTTTTTCCCCCAGAACCAATTCAGGGAAATCAAAAATATTTTGGAGCCGGCCCGGTGGCATAGTGGTTAAGTTTGTGTGGTGGGCCAGGGTTTGTGGGTTTGGATCCCGGGGTTTGCAGGCCTGGATCCCAGGCGTGGACCTACACACCACTTGTCAAGCCATGCTGTGGCGGCGTCCCGTATACAGAGTGGAGGAAGATTGGCACAGATGTTAGCTCAGCAACAATCTTCCTCAAGAGAAAAGAGGAAGATTGTCAACGGATGTTAGCTTAGGGCCAATCAAATGTTTCAATTCACGTTTTTATTTTCCTCAAGCAAAATGCTAATAGCCTTGCTGGGTTCCATGGTGGTGATGGAAAAAGTACACATTATTTGGGTGTTTTATTTATATTGGAATGTAAATGAAAAAATTGGCCTTGAAAATACTATGATCTGGACATATTTGAGAAGCAGCATCAGGAGAAGACTATGAGCTCTGGAAACAGGCTGGGTGGAGAGGCAGGACGGGGCAGTGTGGAATGCTCCATCTCAGCTTTCTCACATGTAAATTGGGGATGATAACAGAACCTAGTTCATAGAGTTCTTTTGGAGATTAAATGTAATGACAAGTGTTGGTTAAAAGTAAAAGGACAGAAATCAATGCTGCATGCAAACACTAACAGAACAATCAAAACAAAGCGAAAAAGCTGGAGTGGTTATATTAATAACAGGTAAAGTAGACGTTATGATAAAGAATATTACCAGGGATAAAGAAGGGGACGACATAATGATAAAGGGGTCAATTCATTAAGAAAAGCTAACAATCCTAAATGTATACACACCTAAAAACAGAGTTTCTAAATACCTGATGCAAAACACTGATGGAAGTGAAAGGAGAAATATATAAATCCGTTCTAATTGGAGATTTCAACCCTCCTCTCTTAGGAATCAATAGAACAAATAGAGAGAAAAATCAATAAACATATGGAAGACTTGAACAACATAATCAACCAACTTGGCTTATTTAACATTTATGGAAAACTCCATGGAAAGGCAGCAGAATACATATTCTTTTCCAGTATACATGTAACATTTGCCAAGATACACCACATTCTAGGCCACAACATGAATCTCAGTAAATTTAACTGGATTGAAATAAAATAATACAAAGTCTGTGCTCTGGCTACAATGAAATGAAAATAAAATCAACAACAAAAAGATATAGAAAATCCCAAAATACTTGAAAATTAAACAATATGATCTAAATAAAACATGGATCAAACAAGATGTCACAATTGAGGTTACAAAATATTTTGGACTGAATTAAATGAAAATATAACACATTAGGATTTGTGGGTGTAGCCCAAACAGTACTTGGTCGGAAAATTTTAGCATCAAATGCTCGTATTTGAAAAGAAGGAAGATCTCAAATCAATGATCCAAGTTTCAATCTTAAGAAACTAGAAAAAAAGAGTAAATTAAGCTCAAAGTAAGAATAAGGAAACAAATAATGAAAATAACAGAGGGAATTAGTGAAATAGAAAACAGAAAAATATTAAAAAAATCAATGGGATGCAACACATTCTTTGCAAAGGTCAATAAAACTGATAAATTTTTAGCCAGACTAACAAGAAAAAAAAAGAAAGAAAATATTACTTACCAATATTAGGAATGAAATAAGAGACATCATTACAGTTCCTACAGATATTTTAAAAAGGATAATAAATATTATGAGTAATTTTGTGCCAATAAATTTAGCAAGTTAGGCAAATTCTCTTGAAGTCACAAACTACCGAAGTTCACGTAAAAAGAAATAGAAAACCAGAATAGTTGTATGTTTATTAAAAGTCATAGAAGTTACAGTGAAAAACTGTTCTATGAAGGAAACCCCACGCCCAGGTGGCTTTGTTGGTGGATTCTACTTGCTATTTGATTTGAGGATGAAATAATTCCAATTCTACACAACATCTTCCAGAATATAAAGGAGGAGAGAACTCATCTCAACTCATTCTGAGATCAGCATTACTCTGATAAAGACATTAAAAGAAAAGAAAAGAAAAGGAAACTAAACTCCAATATTCATCACAAACATAGATGCAATGCAAAAATCCTTAACAAAGTTTTAGAAAATTGAATTGAGTGATATGTAAAATAGAATACACCACAACCAAATGAGTTTATCCCAGGAATTCAAGTTTAGTTTAAAATTTGAAACTCAGTCAATATAATACCAACCAATATAATATCACAGACTAAAAATCATCTATCATCTGAATAGATGTGAAAAATATATGCATATGTATTTCTACATTATGTCGCTCTTTTCACTTAGCTTTGTTTTTCTAAAATTTTAAATTTATTTTAATTAATGATTATTTTTCAAATGATATTACTAGACATATAAAATGGCAGTCTCCTTCCTTTTTGATTTTTTTTTCACTTTTGATTTTTGGTTCCCTGAAACAGTCACTTTCAAATATTTTAGCTGTTTCTTCTGGTATTTACCTTCATGTTTGTAGATAACATGCTTCTTAGGTTTTTATTTTTTATTTTTAGACATTATCTATTGCTTTTCTACTAAGGAGGATGATGATTTTGTTCTCTTTCTGTCTCTCTCACACACACACTCATACGTTCAGACACACACTTCTCCATGTCTCACATCCCCTAAAAAGTGTAGTATTACTTTTTTTAGTTCAATCAATAATCTGTGTTTAAATCATTATGTGACTATTATTTACAGCTAAGCTACATACTGTATTAGGCTTACACCTCTTGTTCAACCTCTGTATTTGCAGGAGTTGGTATTGTTCAAAATTAGTGTTTTGTTTCTGTTGTTTTCTATGATTCAACCACGAATTTATCCCCAAATTCTATCTATAGACTGAAAAAATCTCTTCTAAATAGCTCACACATCAGATATTCATTTTTTTTTCTGGGTGATACCCTTTCTGCTGTCTTCTTGATTCAGTTTGGACTGTTTGCTTTCTAGGAATTTTGAACAACTGTCATCTTGGGATTTCTATTCACCATTACCCTGGATATTATTTTCCCATCTCTCTCTGTTTCTTTTTTTTTCCTTTTGTGTCCCCTCTCTCCTTCCCCTGCTGTCTTATGCTGGATCTCCTGTTCTCTGCTGTGTCTGTGGGTTTATTCATTTAACATTTTGTAACTTTCATTTTACAGGTATTTGGGGTAAGTGTGAAGATAAAAATGTGCTTTCAATATATCATGTAACTGGAATAAATTTGTTAATTTTCAAAGATTTGGTTTGAAACACCCCAGAAAGTTCTTCCTTTGACACATGCTTAAAGATACTTAATCCTCCATAGAACATTCAGTAAATGAGGATGACATCATGGGAGATATAAGTATATGCTAATTTTTAGTTTTTCAAAGAAACCTGAGTTGCTGATTCTCTGACATAGGAATTTAAGATGTCCAGATCTCCTCCTTGTACTTGGTGAGTATTTTCTAAGTTTTATTTTTTTCCCCTAGTACAATCAAAAAGTATTTAGGACATTGTGAAATAGCATAGAGAGATAGTAATGTTCTATATTTGCACAGTACCTTTTATCCTGAAGATTTGCCAAGTACTTTATAACTTGAAGAAGAGATTGTTTTGTTCCCAATTTAAAAGCACCTCATTCTGAGATGAAACATTATTATCTTAGGAGGTACAGCTATACAAAATAATATTTTAATGAAAGAAGCATACTTTTGGGGAACTCAGAGTCAGATGACTGTTGCTGACAAACCTTTTCCATGACCACAGCTCACTAGGCCCTTGCGTTTTCTGGTTGGATGGTGTCTAGATTCTACTGGGCAACTTAGTTGAATTTCTGACCTTGAGTTGGAGATAAGTGCCACCATTTAATTTTCAAAATTATGCCTTCTAGCACTCTCATACCTGAAATCAGCATTGAAAACTAACTCAAATAGGGACTTCCATGAAGACTGCTCAAGGTTAGAGGCATCAATAAATAAAAGGGTTTAACACAAAAAGTGTTAAAATATTTATAATATTTATAGTTTCCAAAGTAATAAAAACCCTAAGATCGTACCAAGAATACTCATATACATGTCTCAAATTTTTTTAATCCCATTTGAATCCTCAGAAGATAGAGCCGAGTAAGGTAGCAAAACCAGATATTCTATTTTGTACACTACCATTTGAATTCTAAAAATAGTGACACTGCTTGTTTAGTAGGCAGACTTCTGGCAACTCCAACCCCAACCTACAGCTGAGAACTTGAACAAAAACAAAAAAAGCCTCTGAGTGGTCACAACAGATGTCAAAATCTAGTACTTTTTTTGTGGTAGAGCCATGCCAGCCCTCACATTTAGCAGATATTCCATTCTACACGGTTTATAAAAAAAAGAAAGGCTGCTATCAGTAAGGCACACTGACAGCAGAGTCTGCACTATTTTAGAAAGATTTCCCAAAATGAACAAACAAATCTGTTTTGCTAACTACTATTAAATGGAAAAGTGATTCTTGTCAAACTTCACTTTCTCCAACTATATTGAATTTTTCTTGGGTCAAATAACTTCTTCAATCCATGTCAATTTAAAATCCGGTGTTAACGGAAAGCTCAAGGTTATTTAGAAATGTACCAAAACTCTAGGTATAGGAAATAGGATGGGTAATGCCTTACGTAATTATTGGCAATTTCATTCATGCATTCAACAAACATTTCATCGGGTGATTAAGTGCTAGGTACTGTTCTAGTGAAGGAGATACATTTGCGAACAAAGGAGACAAAATCCCTGACTTTGTGGAACTTATGTTCTACCAGAAAGAGGCAGATAATAAACATAATAAATTAATGAATGATAAAGTGTGTTACAAGCCAGTAAGTGTTATAGGAAAAAAAATGCAGCAGGGTAACAGAGGCTGGAGGCCTGGGGATGATTGCGGTTTTCAGTAGGGTGGCCAGGCTAGGCCGTACTTAAATGTGATTTGCACAAAGACTGGAAGAGGTGAGGGCTCTCTGGGAATAGTATTCCAGGCTGAAGCAACGGCCAATGCAAAGAGGCTGGGGTGGGGGTGCTCCTGGTGTGTTGGAGAAACAGTGAAAAGGCCGGTTTGCTGGGCAGAGTGGGAGGGGTCGGGAGATGCAGTCAGTGAGATGAGAAGGGGAGCGCTGACCGGGTGCATTTTTCGGCTGTCATCAGCACTCTTGATTTTTACTTGTTACTTGTTAAAGGTAATCACTGCGCGCTCTTAGTTCCTACAGGAAGCATGACAGTGAGAGCGTCCGCCATGCACACAGCACTTTCCCATGAAAGCTACTCCTACTCGGGCTTTGCTTTAGCTTGTGTGTTTTGAATGCAGTGACCCCAACCTCTCCTCCCTCCAGCCTGCCCTTGGTTGACTGGAAAGCGAATCGGACTCAAGGGCAGCCGTCCACAGCATGCTAGGCTCCAGGAGTGGGCCTGAGACAAAGGCTCTCTCTGAATAGTTTTGAGCGGATTCAACCAGATCCTTCTCAGGAATTTAACTGAGAAGAATGAAAAGAAAACAAGTTGATAACAGAAAGAGAGGGGGACACACAGGAGCAGATCGGTTAACAGTGGAATGTTAGAGTTAAGATCATTCAGGAAGTCCTGCTCCCCAGGTCCCCAGGGGAGCTTAGGAATCGGAATGACCGTCTAGTTTCTGGCCCCAGGAGGCTGATTCTAAATGGTTCCTGTTTTCTGGGGTTTCCATGTATGCGTGACCTTATGTTACATCCCTCCTCATCTCACAGTGTTTCACGTAAGTTGAATAAATACCTATTTCTTACAAACAAAAGAGCCCAGCAGAAATTATAACCACTAATGTAACAGTCTCCTTGCCTTCATAATCATCTGTAAATCATTTTAGGCTATTGGACCTTGAAAAAGATCTTCACCTTCTACGTCCTTCAGATGTAGTGGGTAAGGACACAGACTTAGATGCCAGACTGTCTGAGTTCAGCTGAAGCTCCATCCCTGCCAGCGATATGAGCTTGGGCAGTGATTTCACCTGTCTATCTCAGTTTCCACATCTGTAAAAAAGAGAAAACAATACCTCTGAGAGTCGTGCAGATGATTAGATGGGTGAACACAGAGATCTCTCAGACGGTACCTGGTACGGAGTAAAGACTCCATCAGTGTCATTTAATGATGAAACAAACCACTATTCCTACGTGATAAAAAAATACTCCAGGTGACCACTGTCATGGATGGGTTAACTGCTAGTTGTTAGGACAGTGGTATTTACCATTTTATTACTTAGATTCCTTCAAAAGGGTTAGATAATCTCTACACTCTATTGGCATGTTTCAGTTAACAAAGCTTTTTGTTAATTGCAGAGAAACAGTGATCTATGGGAAAGGGGGACAGGTGGGCATAGATTTAGCATCCTTGCTCTGTGCAGGAAGGACTTTGTGTTTGGTGCTGGGGAAAGTGATAGTGACACCCAAGGAACACAAAGCTTACTTATGACTAAGCCCTGTGAGGACTTAGGGGACTTTGGTTTTTTTTAGTCTATGTTTGTCCTTTGTTTTTTTTTTTTTTACTGGTACGTACCAGCACCTGGAATATGGTAAGCACTCAATAAATATTTTTGAATGAATGAACAAATGCTGAATAAATGAAAAGTAATCACAGTGAACAAAAAGGCAATCAGAGGATTTCAAAGCTGGAAGAGAGGAATAAATCAAGAGCTATAGAAACACAGAGGGAAGGGGGTATGGACCACGTGTTTGGGGAGAGAAGATTCAACATCTGAATTGGACCTGGAAGACTAGAGTTTTGACAACTGCTCCAGTGGGGTGGGGCTCAAAGGGAGAGCCTTTCTAGCAGCGGGAATTCCAAAGAGTCAGAGACGTGAACGTTTGTATTCAATCTGGAGAACCTGGAAGTCGTCTGGGGTGATTAGAACTGAGAGAACCTGGTGGAGGAGAAGAGCGGTTCGAAGGGTGTGACGAGAGACGAGATTGAAAAGGTTGTTTGGAACCAGAATGGCCTCCTGTCCCATACTTTGGATTTTATCCTCTAGGCATGAAATTAAAACAAAAATAGTTTCTATTGAATTATATACATACATGTTCATACTATTTAAACAATATCAAATATTCATTAGCACAACATAGTCCTAATGATCTCAGAGATTTTAAAAAGTAATTCGCATGGTAGTGTGGACAGAGATTAGTGTAGGGAGAGGCTAGATTTGGGGGGACAGTTGGTTATTGTACTAATTCTCAGGAGAGAAAAATGCTTTCAGGATTTCTGGAATTTCAACAAATAATGTTAACTCCATCAGTCATTTTCAAACTCTGCCACAGCTTCTATAATTAACAAGGCTATGAGCTCCTTTTCTTCATTAGTGAGTCAATTCAAGAAATATTTATGGAGGTCCTATTGTGCTTTACATATTTTAGGGGAGGCAGAGCAAGACAGAACAGGAAGCTCCCCATCTAGTGGAAGACAGACGAGTGAGTTATCACATGTTTAGACTGTTGACAATCTGACTGTAAAAAAAAAAAAAGAAAAAAAAAGGATTTCAGTACAGTTTTAACTTCTTTTGTCTTTTTAAGAGGGTGGATATCATTTCACATTTCTAAGAGCTATTTTCTGGGAACTCTGTTCTAGGCTTGTCCATTTTTCCACTGGATTGTTGACCTTTTCTTACTGGTTATATATTAAGGGAAGTAGCTCGTGTTATCAATTGTGATATTTTCCCCAGTCTGTCATTTGCCATTGTTTGCAGTTTTCTTATTCAGTATTTTTAAATATAACCAAACATATCCATTTTTCCTTTCATGGCTTCTGAGTTCAGTATCGTATTTGAAATGGCATTTGACACTTCAAACATAAAAAATACTTCTATGTTTGGATATTTTTATAATTTCGTTAACCTATTTGGAGTTTATTTTGGTTTAACCTTTATTTTTTCCCAACGGTTACCCAATTTATCAAATAATCCATCTTTCCTGCACTGATCTGAAATTTTGTTGTCCTTTTATTTTTGATTCCTGTATTACCATATAATTCTAATATTTATTTATTTATTTTAATGTTATGCTATTTGTAATATGTTTTCATGAAAGTTATACTTTGTTTTGCACTAATCAATAAATCAATATATTATGTGGTTTGTCCTGTTTAATGCCTTATACTCATTATTAATATTTCTTTATAATTTTAAATTATGCCTGTCTGTGATTAGTAACATTTGGTTTTTGACCCACTTGTCATTTACTGTGATCAGTGATGTTTGGTCTTATTTCTGTCCATTTCTTTTGAGCTGTGCCTTTTTTCTTTCTAGATGAATGGAGATTTATTTTGGCTTTATTTTTTCTAGTTACTTGGAAATGACACATGCTCTTTTTCATTTTATTAACTTGTCTGTAAATTTTTAGCAATTAGCTATTTTTCCCTGCTCGCCAGGCTCTAGCCAACCTCGTCTTTTTTTTTTCTCAAACACTCCAAGTGTTCCTACTTCAGAGCCTTTGCGTTTGCTGTTCCTGTGGCCAGTAGATTTCCTCCCCAGACCTTCGCATGGTTGGCTCCTTCTCATCAGTCACTGAGATGGCACTACAGTCATGCGTTGCTTAATGACGGGGGTACATTCTGAGAAATGCATCATTAGGCGATTTCGTCATTGTAGACGAACATCATAGAGTGCACTCACACAAACCTAGATGGTATCGCCTACTACACACCTAGGCTATGTGGTATTAATCTTATGGGACCACCATGGCGTATGTGCTCTGTCATTGACCAGAAACGTCATTATGTGGTCCATGACTGTACTCAGCGAGGCCTGCCACTGTCTCCTTGGCTAAATTACCTCCCACCTCACTCACCCCCAGGCCCAGGAGCTCGTTCACTCTCTACCTCTCTATCTCATTTTGCTTTCTGCATGGGCTTACCACTTTCTAAGAAGATTCTATTTCATTATTGGTTTACTTGTCTTTTGTTTACTTATTTATTTTCCTTATCCTCCCACTAGAAGGAAAGCTTCACAGAGGCAGATAGCTTGTCTATCTTGCTTGTCATTTTATCCCTAGTGCTTAAAGCCGTGACTAGCACATGTTAGACCACTAATATTTGGCAAATAAATATTTGTTGAATGAATGAATGAAGTCCTTGCTTTTTCTAAGAACGTCTCTGCATTCTTCAGAACTCCGTGGGGTTCCTTGGCCTCCAATCCCGATCAGCGAGCTCTGGGCGGATCCTCCCTCTCTGCCTTTCTGTGTAAATCCTCAGCTTTGCTCTCTGGGGAGTGGTGGTCATTGCCTCCTTCCTTTTAAGGACAGGCAGGGTCCCAAGAAGGCCAATCTGGGGTGAAGGAGCAGCAAAACCTGGGGGTTAGAGGGCCCTTGCTCACAAGAGCCAGCACCTTTGCAAACGGACTAATTCATTTATTTTGAAAACAATTGGTTTTGATGTAATGTCTTGTTAATAACCAATGCAATATGGTTGCTTTAAGAAATAAACATTTTTTTTCCTCTCTCTTGAGGCTTGGAACGGATTGCATATACTATGAAATTATTTGTTTTCTGGTTGATGAGTTATTAAAAATTTCCATGTGTTTCATCAGTGTTATTAACTGGATTTCTGAAGTAAAAATGTTTGGAATAAGGTTGGGTTTTTGGACAAGGTAGGCTGAAGTAAGAGTCTGAGAATTGTCAGAGATGAAGTTTGGTGCCAAGGTTCTGAGGTAGCTGGGGGTTTCTTGCTGATCACAGTGAAGCCTTTAGCTGGCTATCGCCTTTAAAGTGGGATGCTAAGGTCTGTAAATAATCCTGCTTCTTGGCATTTCTTTAAGCCTTCCATCTAGGCAGTCAAGGCAGACACACAGATACTCCACACTCTTCTCCTGACCACCACCTGGCTGGAGCCTCATCTGGCCAACAACCTCTCTCGATGTTGTTAGTAGTAGGCAGAGTCCTGAAGGTGGCAGTGAGACAGGTGTGTGTGTACTTGCATATGTGTGTGTGTTTGGGCTGGGGTGGGGAGCTGTACAGCAGGGGGAGGTGAGAGGGGAAGGTGATTCTTCCAGAAGGAAACTGGGTCCTCTGTTAGCTCTAGGGTCCTCTTGCATATTATTTCCTCAAGGTCATCCTATTACTTCATCCCTCCCTCTCTCCCTCCCTCCCTCCATCCATCCATTCATCCATCCGATAGATTCATCAACAATGTTTTTGAGCCCCTATTGTTCCAGGCATGGGGATACAGTAGTGAACACAATGAGGTCCCTGTTCTCAAAAAGTTTAAATTCTAGTAAAGAGACGGAAAAAACAAACAAATAAATATACGATATTTCATTTGATAATAAAAGCCTTGGAGAAAAATAAAGTAGGGTAAGGAAAAAGAGAAGGAAGATGGTGGTGGGGCTACTTTATATGGGGTGGTCAGGAAAGCTCTCTCTGGGTATGTGACATTTAAACTTGAAGAAAATAAAAGGTGACCTTACTTGTGGGTTTCTGGGGAACCCTATTTCATGACCCATTAATGAGCCATGATGGAAAATTCTGTTAGGGCTTGCTGACTTGGTAAGTTTTGGATTTTATTATAAATGAAATGGGGAAGCATTAGAGAATTTTAAGTAGAAAAGTAACATGATCTGACATATTTCAAAAGAATCACTTCAGGTGTTATACGGATAATAGACTTTGTGGGTGGGGGGAATGCAGAAGCTGGGAGACCTGTTCATTCAGTCCTATAACTTTGCTATAACTTTATTTACTTATCGCCACTAGTATTCATCAAAGTTGCTTTATCAGACATGCTAAAAATAGGTAAATAATAGCCACCTTTAAACAGAAGTTTCATAATTTGTATCTTCAAATGAAATAACACGTGGAAAACCTGACAGAATTGGTGTTCAGTAAACTTCAATTTTCTCTATCCTTCAGTCTTAATCAAATCTTCTCCTTGGCTAAACAAGGTTTATCTGGAACAGAGTCCAGTTTCTCTACAAATCTCATTTTGTTGTCCCACCTCGGTTGGCCTCAGGCTGTGTGTGGCCTCCTTCGGTGCCACACTTCTCTTCCGGGATCCCCACCTGCACAGCCCGTGTCCTCTGACTCAGCCGGCTTCTTCTGCGGATCTGTCCTTGGTAAGTGGCTTGAGGCTCATGATAACTTTGTTGTTGCTGCTGATGGCAGATCAGCCCTTAATTGTGTGCATCTTACCCTTTAGCACAGGTAGCTAATGAACGAGAAACTGCTTTTCTAAGGAGAAAAGTTCCTTTGCAAAGAACAGATAGGGAAAAGTTCATGTGGAGGCTCTTTTATCCCAGAATGTGCTTGATATTTCTTGTTTCTTTCTTAGACTGGCTTTCGCTTCTTCTTTGCTCTGCTTTTTATCCCGGGAGGCTAACTTTTATGGACCACACCAAAGGCTCCGTCCCCCTCTGGTTTCAGGTTGGGTTTGGATAAGAGGAGTCACCAGTGGAGATCTGATAATGCGAAGGGAATGGGTTTTGGGTATTTGTCTGCCAGCTTCCTTTTTGCTGGGTTGCCATTGATTGGTTTCATCCCTCTGCTGAAGGTCACAACTCCTGAACGCAGCCCTCTGTTACAACTATAGCTTCTTTCTCTCTCTCTCTCCCCCTCTCCTGGTTCTTGTAACCCTTCATTAAACTCTCTTCAGTTGTCCTGTTTCCTGCTGGTCCCATGGCTGGATACACGGAGGTTTCTCTACTGGAGCAGCTGAGTGGGAAAGTATAAAACTTTTGTACAGAAAAATACTTAAAGCCATTCAGAAATCGGAGACACTTTTATCTTAAAGTCGCAGAAAAGGGGACACTCAAATTAACCTATCAGTTTAGCCCACGGCCATCAGCGCATGAATACTTATGGCCTATATGTAGCCGTTCGAAGCAGAACTGGCAGAATTATTTTGAGGACAGAGTGTTTATATTAAGCATTAAACAGCTACATGTATGCTTTCAAGACCCACAAAAACTAGGCAGAAGGACAATTTCCTTATAAAATTCCTTTCAACTGGGAAAGAAAGTAGTTGGGTATGACTGAATGAGAGACTTCTAGTTGTGAGACGTGGTGAATACTGGTTCAGTGTGAGTCACAAATATTCAGGGAGAAAGATTATTGGTTAGAGGTGGCATGACATGGTATTGAGGGCACAGCTTCTGGAGTCAGACTCTCCGGGTTCAAATCCCGCCTCTGCCATTTTCCAGTTGGGAAGCTTTGGGCAAGTGACTTAGTATCTCTGTGCCTCAGTGTCCCATCTTAACACAGGAAAAATAGGAGTACCTAACTCATAGTATTGTTATGAGGAATAAATGAGTTAGTTCATGTAAAGCACTTAAGACAGTGCCTGGTGACAAATGTTTAATAATTCTATTTATTTGTATTATCCTGAAAGTAGATGTGATATTGCTGGGACAAGGACAGATTATTATTACTTACAGAAATAACCTTGTTTGTTGCCTTTCCCCTCATTTATTCCCCCTTCTGGGATGATACAATGAGAGCCAATCGGCAGGCCTACACATGGTGGTGTGTGTTGTACCATAGGAGAGGAACCCTAAAATATGAATCTAGACCTTATATAGGAGAGAGGTGGCTGTCCCCTCATCTTTCAAGAAAAGGAGAGGCACTTTTGCCCCCTACTGTAAACAAATTCTCCTTGGGAAGAGAAGGGGAAGGATCCTGGGTTTTTACCCTTTGGAATGTAAATATAGTCAGCCCTCCATATCAGTGAGTTCCGTTATGTGGATTCAACCAAGCATGGACTGAAAGGCCTACAGTGGTTGGATCTGCACTGAACATGTACAGATTTTTTTTCTTGTCATTATTCCCTAAACAATACAGTATAACAAGTATTTATATAGCATATCATAAGTAATCTAGAGATGATTTAAAGTTTAGGGGAGAATGTGAGTAGGTTATATGCAAATACTATGCCATTTCATATAAGGGACTTGAGGGGATTTTGGTAGGGGGGGTCCTGGAACCATTCCCCCACAGATACCCAGGGCCAACTGTAAATGTCTCCTGGGGAAGATAAGATGAATGTTACTAGGTTTACAACTCCTGGAATGTGTCTATGGCTTTGGGACTCATCTGCCCCTAGAAGTGTAAACACACACCTCTGGGGAGGAAAATCTTTTGCTATCTATTTAATAATCTTTTAGATTTCAAGGCTTTTCCTTTAACCTAATTCCAGTAAAATTTTTCCAGAAAGCCCTAACTGTTTAGAAACATTAAAAATTTACTTCCTGACATCTGGCACATAGCAAACTGATATCAATGTCGGCTATCAGGATCCTGTGAATGATCAGAAGCCGTGGAAATTGTGTGGTAACTTTGGGGGTTTATTCCTGTCTGAGAGTTGTTTGATGAACTTGTTTGCTCTCTCTGTACTTCTACATTAATGCTGTTTCTCTATGAAATGCAAAACTTTTGAAAGTTTGCTCTAGAATCCAAGACAATTTCTAATCATAATAATTATGAATGTTAGTTGTCACATTTATTAAGTTAAAGCTAATCGCTTTACATAAATGATGTAATTTAGGCTTCACGGCAATATCGTTAAGATGGGTCCCTAATATCCACGTGTTATAGAGCAGGAAGACAAAGCTTATGGAGGGGAAGCAACGTGCCTCAGAGTTAAACAGCTAGTAAGTGGTAGGGCCATGGTCCAACGCCTGTGTATATGACTTCAAAACTCCTGCTTTGTATGGATGCTGTTGGGAGCAGAATCTGTGTTTTTATATTTTTTTATTTTTTGCTGAGAAAGATGGGGCCTGAGCTAGCATCTGTGCCAGTCTTCCTCTATTTTGTATGTGGGACGCTGCCACACCGTGGCGGAATCTGAATCACCCAGGATCTGAATCCATGAACTTGGGCTGCCAAAGTGGAACATGCCGAACTTAACCACCGGGCCACAGGGCCGGCCCCCAGAATCTGCGTTTTTAAAGGGAAACTCCTGTGAGTCCTCTGTTCTCTCTGCTGGTGGAGGTCAGCATCTGGGAATTGGAGAAGCATGGAAGACGTGGCTCTTTCTCTTCTCCGTGGCCCCACCCAACATTCAAGTTTAGGTTTGGTGCCCTGAACCCACAGCCAGGCGCACTGGCTAGGGTGTAGCACTGGAGGCCAGATTTTGGAGTCAGAAAACCTGGCTTTGCTTCTGTTCCACCACTTACTGTGTGACCCAAAGCAAGGTGGTTATTCTCTCTGAACTTCTGATTATTCACCTATAAAATGAGGAGAAAAATGCTTGTCCTGCCTCACTCGCAGGGCTATTGGTGAGGATCAAATGGGATAATATATGTGAAGGCACGTTGTAAACTGCACAGCTTTCCACGAAAGTAAGGGATTATTATTTACTCACTAGCAGGCATGGACTTTGCAGACACTGAGTTACTTGAGGGCAATAAAAAATGAAAACGACATGATCACTCAGGTTGCTTTTTAAACTATCCCTAACAGTCAATCATATAGAGTAGGCAATGACAGGCATCTATCGAATCCCCATATGCCTGCTTTTTCTTTGAAACCTGATTATACATTTTCCCAGGGTGGCATGTGCCCGACCACAGGCAATGGATCATAGTTGATCTGAGTCTCTATGGCTCTCCTGTTCCCTGCTTTTTCAGCCTCCTTTTCAGTTAAAGGTCTCCGAGTCCTGTCTTGGAACAGAATTTTACTCAGATGGTCAACTAAAAATATTTTAATGATAAGTTCATTTACAGAGATGTGGGTAGGGTTAAAGGTATCAATAAGGCACCCAGAGACCAGCCATGGTGAGGGACCGTTACCACCCAAGGCCTGAAAGGGCAAGAGATAGAGTGTTGTTACCAGGGCCCGGAGAGAGCAGGAGCCGTGGAGGGGGGGACCAGGGGGAGCTGTAGTTATAGGAGGATATGGCCACTGCCAGAGCTGCAGTGCTGAGAGGGGACAAGGGGGAGGAACTGGCCAGGAATTCTCCAACTCCTCTCAACTCTCATCCTCCAATCTTCGCCTACATCTCTCCTTTGCCCAATCTCATCAGGAACCAGAAGGCAAAGGAGCTCATCGTGTGATTTCATTCTGTTCAATAGGGTGTAAGGTGATGTCTGTCATTGTCATTTCTGGGAAAATTTGGCTTTCCAGATAAAATGGGTCAGGTGTGGATGGCAGTTCTGTTTATTTCTTCTTTCCTTCCTTCCTTGAATGAAGATGTGATGGCCAGAGGGCAGCAATCATCTTGCAATCATGAGGCAACAGGCATGAAGAAGACAATATGCTGAGGGTGGGAGCAGGACCACAGGAGGTGCCTGGGTCTCTGGTGGCATTGTCCAGCAGTCGAATCAACTCCTGCGATCACTGTCTTCAGACTCGTTTTGTAAGTGATTTTTGAGCCTCTACTTTCTTCTGCTCCAAGTCCTACATGATATAGCATATTTGGTTCACAGATCTTATTTACGGTTGATCTGAGGAGATGCAATAAAATCTGTCTTATTAAAAAACAGTCCAAAGGCCAGCCCGGTGGCGTAGTGGTTAAGTTCAGCGTGCTCCGCTTTGGCAGCCTGGGTTCGTGGGTTTGGATCCCAGGTGTGGGCATACACCACGCATCAAGCCATGCTGTGGTGGTGACCCACATACAAAATGGAGGAAGATTGGCACAGATCTTAGCTCAGGGCCACTCTTCCTCAAGCAAAAAGAGGAAGATTGGCAACAGATATTAGCTCGTGGCCAATCTCCCTCACCAAAACAAACAAAAAAACCAGCCCAAAACAGTGAGGGTAAAGGATTCTCATGATTGAGGAAGTAAAAACATGGCATCTGGGTTCATGTAGTCCCCAAATTCAACAAGTGAAACTTGCATCCAACACCATATCTTTTGTCCCACCTTCCCCACCTGTAATACCTGCTTGATAATTGCCTTTGTCGAGACTGCAGGCTCTGTGCTGTTGGGACCACGCCTGTCTTGCTGACCCCTTGTTCCCGGGGCCACACATAGTGCCTAACAAAGAGTATGCTCCCAATAACTCGTTGTTGACTTAAATCAAAGTGTCCAGAACCATTAAAGCCAAGCATTTTCTCTGCTTTTCTCGACCTTTGCTGAGATCAAGAATTTGCTATATTTTTCTTAGATGAAAAATTTTCTCAGTCACAGCTTCTAAGACAAAACTTCATCTTGTAAGAGTTGAAACATCAAGAGACTCTGAGTTCTCTACCAGTCTGAGTATTTGAGGACATTCCCTTGAAGGTGAGTGAATGAATAGGAGTGGCAATTTGCAGATAGCTCTTGGTCACAAGATTGAATGTCTAGAAGTTGCAGTGCGGGCTGTGCTGCAATGCCCTGCTTCTTTAGAAGAATTACACTCCTATTCATTTGTTTGTCCAGCCCTGTAGACAAACACCTCAGATCCAAGCCACAAACTCAAAGCAGATTTACTTAAGGAGGAGGACGCGCACTGGAACACAAGCAGCATTTTACTGGTGAAGAAGGTGGGCGGGGGACCTGCTGATTGTGAAAACATTTTATTTTTATATTGAAGTGTTATTAATAGGGGTGTTTGGTTACAAAAAAAATAAACACCTATAGCAACTGGAATGTTGGTCTAAGTATGGGGAAAAATCACGTAAATAGCTAGTTTATGTTTTTTGTCATTTTCATAACACTTTTGTTATGAAAATGACATAATCAAAATACTATAGTTTATGTTCTGTCATATGACTTCAGTTACATATTGAATTAGAAATGATTATGCTAGTATTTATTGTGCAATCTTGCTGAACACTGGGATATGAAATAATTGGGTGCATGTTAACAGATTTTGAAATCAATAACCAAAAAAACAGGTCTCTAGTGTAGGCTACAATTTATTTGAACTGATTGGTATAAATTTTATCTGTTCATTATATCTCAGATTGATTTTAGATGTGAGCAGAGTTTTGAGGGAGTGAGAGAATTTTTAACGTTTAGGTAATTTGATTATAACAGTTCTCGATGATCTGGTTGCAAGAAGACTGTGTCTCTTTTCATAATCTTATTTTAACCAAGCTATCCACAAAAAGAAAAACACATTTATAATAATTTAGTAACTAAAAAAACTCTGAATTGCTAGGAAAAGGATTAGAGACTGTAAAATTGAAGAGAACTGATTAGACTGGCAAACTACTCTGAACTGTTTTCATGCTCTGCATGTTTGTTTTCCAAACATTTCAAATTAACACATTAAAAAATTGAGAATCTGTGTTAAGACAGTTTAAATTGTGAAAGCAGATCAGGAATAGCCTATTTTTCCCTCTACAATCTGCCTTTGCTTATATTTTCAGTTTTTCACACCTGGGTGAGGAAAAATACAAGTTTGCAGCAGAACAATGGCCATGATATTTATTATCTTGGAAAAAGGAAAATAAGTAACTGTTGGAAAAAAGAAAGGTCTATAAATTCCCGAGTGTTAATCTTTTGGTGACTATTTCTTAGCTTTAGACTCCTCATCTGAATACAAAAAGACAGTGTCCAGAACTATGAAAGATGGAAAAACAAGGCATGTGGTTGTATGAGCTATTTTGTGCTGTAGTTATTCAGAAAGTCAAAGTAATGGTTTGTTCTTGACTTATACTTAATGAAGGGGAATTTAAAATCAATACCTTTAGCAGCCTGCGGTTACCTGGGATACACTCCCAGCCCATGCATAAAAGACAAGCACTTGTGTGTGTGTGTGTGTGTGTGTGTGTGTGTGTGTGGAGGTGGGGGGGTGGGAGGAGGTTGTGAGTTGAATGGTTCTAATATCAATTTTACAGCATCTCTTTATGACAATAATTGCTTTTATGGGGTTTAGCAACTCCCAGTTGGATCAGCTTAAATTTAATCTGTATTAGAATTGCAGAATTCAGAAGAGGGAACCAAATCCCTGTGGATCATAAAAATTGGATGCTAGATAGTTAATACGTTTTATGACATACAATGTAAAATAACCACTCTGTAGTTTGAGAAAAAGTGTGGTATCAAGGTCAACCACCTGAAGGTGCTACCACTTTCTTTCCATGTACTTCCTTGTCATGTCAACTTGTTGAGAACTGTGGTCTTTTCCCTTGCATTAAAAAATCTATAAATAAGATGTTTTTAAATTAAACTTTTAATTTTGGGTAATTGCAGATTCACATACAGTTGTAAGGAATAATACAAAGAGATCTTGCAGCTCTTTACCAGCTTCTCCTAATAAGGAAAACTATAGTTGCAAAACCGTAGTACACGTCACAACCAAGATATTGACACAGATCCAGTCCCGATACAGAACATCTCTATCACCATTGCCATTCTTCACGTTGCCTTTTATATCCATACCCACTTCCTTCCTACCCCGACCTCCTCTTTAACCTCTCATAGCTACTAATCTGCTTTCCATCTCTATAATGTTCTCATTTCAAGAATGGAATTAGTGCATAACCTTTTGGGATTGACTTTTTTCCCCCACTAAGTATTATTATCTGGAGATTCATCCAAGTTGTGGCAGTATCAAAGGTCCACACGTTTTTATTACAGCTCAGTAGTCCATGATATGGTTATTCCACAGTTTGTTTAATCATTTACCCAGTGACGGATATCTGGGCTGTTTCCAGTTTGGGGCTATCATGAATAAAGCTGCTATAAACATTTACGCACAGGTTTTTGTGTGAACCTAAGTCTTCATTTCTCTGGGATAAATGTCTAGGAGTGCAATTACTGGATTGTGTATTAATTGCATGTTTAGCTTTTTAAGAAATTTCCAATATGCGTCCCAGAGTGGCCGTACCATTTTATATTCCCAGCAGCAATCGGTGAGTGATTCAGTTTCTCCACATCCTTGCTAACAAGTGACATTTAGTGTCACTATATTTTATTGTAGGCATTCTGATAGGTGCATAGTGATACCTCATTGTGGTTTTAATTTGCAATTCCCTGATTATTAATTATGTTGAATATCTTTTCATGCACTTATAGCCATCAGTAAAATGTCTCTTCACACCTTTTGGATTGTTTATTTTTTTATTGGTGAGTTTTGAGAGTTGTTTTTATATTCTAGATATTAGTTCTTTGTTGGATATGTGGTCTACAAATATTGGTGTATAGTTTCTTTTTTTGTACTGTGTGTGCCTGGTTTTGGTATCAGGGTAAGACTAGCTTTATAAAATGAATTAGGTTCCTTGCTCTTCTACTTTCTGGAAGAGATTGTATAGAATTAGTGCTCATTCTTCTTTAAACAGTTGGTAGCATTCTCCAGTGAAGCCATCTGGCCTAGAGATTTCTTTTTTGAGAGTTTTAAAATTATAAATTCAATTTCATTGATATTTACGGGGATAATCCACTTCTTATTGGGTGAGTTATGATAGTTTGTGGGATTTTTTTTTTGTTTTTTTCTGTTTATTTTTTTAGGAATTGGTCCATTTCATCTACATTTTCAAATTTATGTGTGTAAAGTTGTCTGTTGTATTGTCCTTTTGAGTCTGCAGGGTCTGTAGTGATCCCCTATTTCATTCCTGATATTGATAATTTGTGTCTTCTTTCTTTTTTTGTCAATCTTGCTAGAGGTTTGTCAATTTTATTTAGTTTTTCAAAGAACTGGCTTTTTGTTTCATTGATTTTTCTATTGTTTTTCTCCTTTCAATTTCATTAATATCTGCTTTTATTTTTGTTATTTACCACCCTGTGCTTTCTTTGGGTTTATTTTGCTCTTCTTTTTTTTTTATTTTTATTTATTTATTTATTTATTTTTTATAATTTTTATTTATTTATTTTTTTCCCCCAAAGCCCCAGTAGATAGTTGTATGTCATAGCTGTACATCCTTCTACTTGCTGTATGTGGGATTCGGCCTCAGCATGGCCGGAGAAGCAGTGCGTCGGTGCGCGCCCGGGATCTGAACCCGGGCCGCCAGCAGCTGAGTGCACTCACTTAAGCGCTAAGCCATGGGGCCGGCCCTTTAAGTTCTTGAGGAGGGAACTTAGATAATTGATTTGCGACTTTTCCTCTTTTCTAATTTATGCATTTTTGTGCTATATATTTCCTGCTCAGTACTGCTTTAACTGTGTATCACAAATTTTTGATATGTTGTATATTCATTTTCATTCTTCTCCATGTATTTTTTAAACTTCCTTTGAGTCTTCCTCTTTGACCCACAGATTACTTAGAAGTATGCTGTTCAATTTCCAAGTGTATGGAGATTTCCTATTATCTTTTTGTCATTAATTTCTAGTTTGGTTCTATTATGGTTGGAGAATGCTATATATAATTTTTATTCTATTAAATGTGTAGAGGTTTGTTTTATGGCTCAGGATATGGTCCATTTTGGTTTATGTTCCATGGGCACTTGAAAAGAAGGTGTATTCTTCTTTATTAAGTGTTCTATAAATGTCAATTAGATCCTATTGATGGAGTTGTTGAGTTCTTTAATATCCTTGCTGGTTTTCTGTCTAGTTGTTCTATTAATTGTTGAAAGTGGGGTACTAAAGTCTCCAACTATAATTGTAAATTTGTCTGTTTCCTCTTTCAGTTCTATTAGTTTTTGCTTCATGTATTTTGCAGCTCTGTTGTCTGGGGCACTCACATTTCACATTATTATTTCTTTTAGGCGGATTATCCTTTTATTGTTATGTAATATCTCTTTCTTTGTCTGATTATTTTCTTTGCTCTGAAGTCCACTTCAACTGATGTTAGTTTAGCTACTCCTGTTTTCTTTTGATTAATGCTTGCATGATATATCTCTTTTCTACCTTTTTACTATCAAACTGTCTATTTGAATTCAGTGAATTTCCTGTAGATAGCGCGTAGTTAGATCATGTTTTCTTAATCCACTCTGCCAACCTCTGTCTTTTAACTGGTATGTTTAGACTAATTACATTAATATAATTATTAGTATTTCAGGGATTAAGTCTGCCATTTTATTTTTTGTTTTCTTTCTATATTCTCTGTTTTTTCTCTATTTTCTTTTCCCTGCCTTCTTGGAGGTTACCTGAACAATTTTTAGAATTCTGTTTTGATTTACCTGTAGTATTTTTGAGTGTAACTCTTTGTATAGACCTGCGAGTGGTTGCTCTAGGCATTATGTTATATATATATAACTTATCATGGTCCACTCATGTTGTCCTTTTGCCAGTTTGAGTAAAGTATAGAAACCTTACTCTCCTTTATGTTCCTTTACTCTCCCCATTGAGAACCACACCAGACAGTGTTACGATTTCTGCTTTACTTTCAAACATAATTTAGAAAACTCAAGAGGAGAAGGAAAATCTGTTTTATTGACCTATGTTTTCTTTCTTCCTTCCTGATATAAGAATCCTTCTTAACTCTTTTCTTTCTCTTTTGAGAATTTCTTTTAGTCATTCTTCTAGAGTAGTTTTACTGGCAGCAGGTTCTCTGTTTTCCTTCATCTAAGAAAGTCTTGATTTCCTCTCATTCTTAAAAGATATTTTCACTAGATATAGAATTCTGGATTGACAGTTTGTTTTTTCCAGAACTTGAAAAATGTTATACTACTTCTTTCTGACTCTGTGGTTTCTTATAAGAAATCCACTGTCATTCCATGGGTAAGGTGGCATTTCTCTCTCATTTTTTAAATAGATTTTATTTTTTAGAGCTCTTTTAGGTTCACAGCAAAATTGAGCAAAAAGTACAGAGATCCCATATACTCCCTGTTCCCATATACTCCATATATACAGACACAGCCTCTCCCACTATCAATATCCCACATCAGAGTAGTACATTTGCTACATCTCTTACTTTTTAAAAAAATTTCTTCTTTGTCTTTAATTTTCAGAAGTTTGACTATGATGTGTCTTGGTGTGGATTTTTTTTGGTTTATACTGTTTGGAATTCACTCAGCTTCTTGAATCTGTAGATTTATGTCTTTTGCCAAATTTGGGAAAATTTCAGCTATTTGTTCTTCAAGTACTTTTCAGTCCCACCATCTTTCTCTTCTCCCTCTGGGATGCTGATGACAAGAATGTTAGAACTTTTGTTATAGTCTCACATTCTGAGGATCTGTGTATTTTTGTTTCAGTCTACTTTCTCTCTGTTGTTCAGAGTGAATATGTTCTATTGTTTATGTTCCAGTTCACTGATTTTGTTCCCTCCATTCTGCTCTTGAGACCACCCACTGAGCTTTTTATTTGTGATTATATTTTTCAATTCTAAAATTTTCATTTGATTTTTCTTTATATTGTGTATTTCTTTGCTGAGACTTTTGACTTCTTTGCTGAGATTTTCTTTTGTTAAAATTTGTTTCAAGTGTGCTCATAATTGCCCATTGAAACATTTTTGTGATGACTGCTTTGAAATCTTCGTCAGGCAATTCTATCATCTCTGACATCTTTTTCTCTTTCAGTTTGAAATCTTCCTGGTTCTTGGTATGATGAGTGATTTTTGATGAAAGCTTGGACATTTTGAGTGTTATGTTATGAGACTCTGGATCTTATTTGAACCTTCTGCTTTAGCTGGATTTCTCTGATACCCACCAGCAGGGGAAGGGAGACACCACCTTGCTACTGCCAGGTAGGCATAGGAATTCTGGCTCCCAACTAGGCCTCCAATGATACCTCCCCCACTGGAAGGGGAACTAGCCAAGCTGGAGCTGCCACGTGTTGGAGTAGCCCCTTAAAGCAACAAGCCAAAATGAAAGTAGCAGTCAAGCCTTTAATCACTTACTGTGATAGTTCAAGCAAGAGGCTAAACTGGAGAGAGTGCTGGCTCCCTCCTTTTCTGTTCTACCTCATGGAATGGGGTTCCACTTAAGGGTCAGGTGGATCAATGCGGATCTGGGGTCTGGGTATCGTCTCACTGCTGAGGGTGTCCTGAACAAAGGCTACTGCCATTTTATGGACCCAGGGGTCAGAGGGGAAGGACTAGGAGTAGAAAAATACTGAGTCCTGAGTCAGAGTGGAGAAATGTGTTTTCAAGCGTCCCCAGTAAGGAGACTTCCAAATGCAGGTGTGCATATGAGCAAGACCAGCCAGGTGAGCCTGAGCCCTTGACTAACTCCCTTCAGAGTCTGCAATGCGTTGGCTGTGCCCCAAGTCTGGTGAGGGGAGGGCAGCTTTCCGTGCTGAGGCCTGCCAGGTAAAGCATTGGTGATTGCTTAGGGTTGGGCCTAAACAATCACACATAGCATTTTGTCCTGGAGCCAGAATCCTCAGTGACTTATTATTGCTCCTCACGTG